CCCAGTTTCACACAGGTTCCTCTGACTATGCAACATGACGTGACACATAATTTCAACAAAAATATGCATGAAAAGCACAAACTACTGAAACAACTGTTTGCAATCAACCGTCAAACATAAACTGCACTGCCTGCCAAATAAGAGTGAAAACTTACTCACCCTTTTGCCTGTAATTGTACTAGTAATACACAATTGTATAGTTAAATACAACATAATGTATGTTTTAAGTTAAAATGAATAATGTAAGTGAGACGACACATGAGAGATACTAACCACTAAAATATGAGAGGAAAAAACATATCTTTGTCCCGCAGCTCATACAGGCTGAGGCGACTGAGCAATATTTTGCACGACTCAATGAGCTCCACTGTTTGTCAAAAATATGCAAGGGGGGAAAAAAAAAATCAGCAAATATTTGCAGTCACAGACAAAATATTCATAAATATCTACTTTAAAAATTAACAAAATTATATAAAATACAATTTTTATGTCACGTGAAAAATATATTTATGGCCAGTACATTTTCACAATTAACCTGATATTGTGAAAAGCGCTATACAAAAAAAAAAAAAAAAAAAAAATATTGGCAGGTGTGGCACATACTCAATTTTGGAAGCAGCTAATATATCATTTCAAATGATTTTTCTGGCCAACTGTCTCTGTTAAAGAGGCGTTTAGATTCCCCTTGAGACTGCATCAATCTTAGGTAATTCATTTCAAAGGGATCCAGTGGGAAAATGTAAGTTTTCACATTAGTTTTCACAAACGCTCAACAAGCAAGTCTTGCTCTACTCTCGCTGCGCTCCTTTCTCTGTTGAGCTTACACAATAACTCTTTGTAAGCTTGTCTTCCCTGTGTGACACGCGTTGAGTAACTCTAATTCGTCACGTCTCTCTGAGTGCCAGCGGCAGATGGCTCAACGGTTTGTCACTCGATCCCACTTCTTTTTACGATGGTTTCTGCCTGAAGAACACAGTCATGCAACCAACGCTGACACACTCGTGTGTGTGTGCACACACTGGCACTCGCTGAAACAATCCTGTACAACACAGCCAATCAGACAGAAGCTACCTTAGCAAATATAACAGCAAGAAGGCGGCGTAGGATATTCATAAATGGAATTAAAGTTTTATTTTTCATGCTGCTAATTTCACACAACAAAGTTTCAGTAATAACAGTCGTTTCAAAATGCAAGACTGAATCTGAAATTGCGATGTTTGACAATGCTGGGCGCTATTGCCAAATATCTGTATCACAGTATTTCTTCTTTTTCTTTTCATGACTGGACCTTTATACCAGTTCATAACTTTTATTTTACTGTCAGGAGTAGATAAAAAATAAAAACATTGTAATGTGAAATACAAATTTAATAAAAAATAAAAAAATGGAGGTAATGAAATCAATTAACAACACTAACAATTTAGTTAAGCTTTTAAACTATCAAATTAAAATTACATTTTTTTTTGGCACAATCAAACATGGAAATTTGTGTGATATTCCTCAAAAATAAGGTTTTAAAAATGATTAGTATTATTATTACTTTAAGTAGTACATCATTCTACTTTAAAATAGTAATGTATTTCTTTCATAATTTCTTCATGTTAGACCGAACTTTTATTTTGACGGGTTGTAATGAAGACCTTTGATACTCTTTAATAAACTGTTACTACTACATGAAGTACACCACTGTGCAATAGTAATATTTGTGTTATAATTTCTTCATGTTAGACCGAACTTTTATTTTGACGGGTTGACGTGAAGAACTGAGTTTCCATGTGTATAAGATATGGCAATAGTTTTATCAAATGAAATGGAGAAATGCTGATAAAGTGACTCTGCGCAGATAAAGTTCACATGTTCATGTCCTCATATAATGAGACGTTAAAAACACCATGAGCGTCAAGCGTGCTTCAGTGTGTAGTAGACGAAACTGCGGCGCTCATTCACAAAGAACATGCAGACTTCAGGTTTCAATAGCAGTGTTTTTGAGCTTAAATATTCACAGATACTATCGCAATTTGATTCATTGTACTGCCCTACTTTTGCTTTGATTCGGTGACATTCCGATTTATACAGTAAAGGCTTGTGCACACCTGTTTATTTTAACTAAAACGATAGAAATCTAGTTTCAAAAGATTTCAGAAAGATTTTTTCCAGCTGATAAAAACACTGCAGCCAATCAGAATTCATCCTGCTTTAAAGAGCTTGAGTATTTAAAGCGGCAGACTAAATAACTGCTGCTTCCGCATCACGGAAATCATAGGGCTATTCAAGGTGTTTGCAATATTAAAGAGAATTAGCTGTGTGGATTATTTATTGTTGAGTTATAAAGTTATAACCATAAGTAAGAAGGTTATGCAGTTAAAAGAGGTCCCCTTAATACACTCTACATAGTGCTCTTCATGGCCATTGAACAGATGCAGCAATTGCTTCAGATATGCACCGTTATGGCAGTATTTGAAAAAAAAAACCCATATCATACACAAAATTGAAACCGAAATACCAGATGAATCGGTATATTGACCAGCACTAGTTTTACACTGTGATAACCGGATGGAATAAAAAACTTTAATATGTCATAATACTAGGGCTGCAACAAACGATTATTTTGATAATCGATTAATCTAACGATTATTAGAACGATTAATCGACTAATCATCGATTATTTCGCAGACTAATCAGTAAGTTTGGAACGATTATTCAGCTTTTCCAATTAGTTAAAACATTGAGTTATACATATTCTAACTATAATATAAAAAAATAAAATCACTTCAGCTTTTGAAATAGTTGTTTTAATGAACTTTGAGCCAACTAAACAGGTCATTCTCTTTAAGTTTTCAGATTTCGGTCCAACTCAAATCACACACAAATGCTCTCTAAGCATTGTTTAATAGGCCCACTGCTTTTCTGAGAACTGAAACAGAAAAAGGGACATTTACTTCAGGACACAAAGAATGGTAAAATATTAATCTGCAAACAATTATTATAATTATAAAATTACAATCTTTTTTTACATGACAATTGAGCTGACAGAGACGTTCTCATTCACCTTTTAATTTATAGTATGATAAAGTAACTGCCATGATATTCTTCCTATATCATAGGAAGGATATAACATCTCGTTTTGTAAGTCTTCATGATTATTGAACAAAATACAGGCAAGTGATAAGACTATAATAATACCTAATATACTAATAGTGTTACAATAATAAAAACAGCCCTGACTCCTAAGCTCGATCAAGCTTTATTCTATGCAAAATAAGTCATCACATTACTGTAATTATATTACTATTGATAATATTATTACTATTATTAGTAGTATTGCATTCTCTTATAAAGAGAGATTTACCGCTGGTTAGTAACGTTAAGCTCCAGCTGGAGAACACTCACTTCTCACCGGCTCCTCTTTTGCCGGGATATTTCCTCTTGCACTCCAGCATGCATGTTGTGCTCCCGTGAAAAGCAAGTTCCGCCTTGCATGTATTGCACACGACAGCATTCTTGATTTGAAGTTTTGTGAAACTTTCCCAAACCTAAACCTTGCTAGTTCGGATTCGTTTGCACTGTCATAATTCGCGCTGTGTTTTCTCCTACCGCAATAGCATTTGTAAGGGCTGCACTACACTCTAGCGCTACAGCGCCGTAGCGGTCAAATCGCGATATTGCAGGCCCTTACATTAAGACACGTGAGATCAAACGACTACTCGACAACAAAGATATTTGTCGACAAATATTTATTGTCGACGTTGTCGACAACGTCGACTAATCGTTGCAGCCCTACATAATACATATATGTGTTGCAGCGTTAAAATGCAATAGACCTGCACTTGTTCTGATACCTGTAATGTTTCTTTGATTTTCACTTTATTACTAACTATACTAATTAATAACCATGTTCACTTAATTGAACGATATGTGAAGGGTATATTCAGTATACAGTTTTAGAGACTTTAGTACTGCACCTTAAACTCTAATTTTCTAGTTGTCTAATGCTAAGTTTTCCAACTAATATTTATTTTATTTCAGCCATATTTAAAAAAAACTATTTACCATTACCAAAAATTGTTTTTGATAGTTAACAATAACAACACTGTAACAACAAAAAAACTATTTTTTTTATTATTATTATTATTATTAGAAACATTTAGGCCTGATCTGACATCAAATAAATAAATAAATAATCAAAAATAAAATTGGATGCCTTCATTTTTTTTTTTTATGAAATGGCAATTACATATTACACAAATGTCCATTTTAATACTTTTTAAAAAAAATATATAATTTATATTTATGTGATGTGTAAAAACTATTGAAACTTGAACTCAACTATAATGACATTTGGTTTAATAATCTTAAATAGTGTTACACAAACCAGGACCGGCACGATTTAGCTGGAAAAGTGGTATCAGTTAGTGCAGCCAGTGGGGGTACAAATCGTTATCTGCATACAAACGTCAGCACAGTCGAATTTACACTGTTTCTGCTGATCTAAAATACAGTTTAAAACCAAGAGTATTATTACACAAATTCACGTTACCTGGCCATTCATTCTGTGCAACCTCATAACTTGCCCGAGGTAAATAACCACACCTGCTGTCATCCAACCCTCTCACCTGGCTCTTGACAGCCATGGAAAAAAACTACACACCTGAATAAAACGACTAAATAATGACTAAAACAAACAAGAAACTAAAGTATGAAATGGACCACAAACACAGAATAGAATTCAATAGAACTAGTGAAGTTATCATCACATACTTTGTCTACAACCACAAACTTACATGAATTGAGCAAAGAAACAGGTTCAACAGGACATGGAAATTCTCGGAAAATCATTAGCTGAGGAGGAGGAAAGTTCAAACATAATTACACAAAACCCTGTAAGGTTTGCTGGAAATATAAACTAAGATGTGCTACACACAAAGAAAGAACACATTTGGGAAGTGCACTGCCGGTAGTTCCACCCAGTAATGTTTTTTTCATTTTCACAGTGATCTCACCTGAGTGAATAGGTATAGCCCGTGTTATCCGGAGTACAGTGAGGAGGAGTATACGTGTGCAGAGGGGAAAAATCCATGGTAATTCGCTGAGCACGCTGTGAAGACCAAACCAGATGTGAAGAGCAGACTTCGAAAACTACGGCAACAGCTAACGTGTGATGATGGGTGTGACCTCGATACATAAACAGAGTCACACCCATGAAAGCATGCACACACACACACACACTCTACGGTTCAGCCTGCCTCTGGGAGGAATCCCGATGAGCAACATGGTAACAACTTTTGTTTAGACTGGTACAGGTGATTGAACATAGAAGCTAGTAGAGTAACTATATAAAACACCTCTTTCATAGTAAATTGTGCGTTTTATTAAATGTGCAAACAAGTCATCTGATATGGTCAAATCGAGCAGGAAGTGACGGACACACCTACATGTTCAAAATCAACAACGCTGTCCAGGGTGACTCAAGCGAACAGGACAGCATGAAGACTTTAATAGCCTATATTTACACAGATAATGGCTCTACAACTTTTCCAGCCAGTCATAATTACTGAATGTAGACTTAACATATTTACAGAGATTGCTTTATACTAATAAAAATAGTATTTTAGAGCTGAACATATTTGTTCACTATAGACATTTTGGTAAGACTTTACAATAATGACAATAATGAATTAGGTATCATGAAATAAATATGAACAATATTTGCACAGCGATTATTAATATAGGTTCATATTAATTTTTATATGAATACATTTTACATTTAATAAAAAAACATCTCAAGATACATTTATAAATTAATTACTATTATATTAATAATAAATTAAATAAATAAACATAAGCTAATGTATTATACAAAAATGTATTGCCAACGAACAAAAGTAATTATAAAATATTTTTTATGTTATTATGTATTAATTACATGTATGTAATATTAATGTGTTGTGTGTACTGTCTGTGTATAATTATTTTGTATATATAAATACACACATGCATGTATACATTTAAGAAATATTTGCATGTATATATATATTTATATTAAATATAAATATTTCATATATAAATAACACATTTTTCTTAAACATATACATGCATGTGTGTGTTTTTATACAAAATAATTATACACAATACACACACATATATTATGTAAACAAACATTTTTATTTTGGATGATTAGGCTAATTGTTTCACAGCCTCAGTTCACAATAACGCATTAACAAACACTAACGAATCAAAATGGACTGTAAAGTGTTACTGAAATTTCTATAGTGAATAATATACAGTAAAAGCTCAGCTATGATCATAATTTTAAAATCCCTTAGTTTTGCATGGTTTCGTTTGTTATGCACTATACCCAACTAAATACTTTGTTTAGTTATCTAATACACTAGTAGAGCTTTGAACAAACACTAAGAGTTTAACTTTCAACTTACTAAGAAATCAAATGGATCCAAACTGTCCTGGTCCTTTAAGGGCCGAATTAAGCATCTGAACAAACAGAACACTCTGGGATCAATTACCCCAGTATTAAGATAATATTCATATGCGAAATTACCAAAAGTCAAATATCTTGTTCATTTTGTTTACCTTTTCCTCTAACTGCATGTCTTGTCATTCCCCATACCAGAGGAGATCTAGAAAACCCCTCTCCAATACCCAAGAGACAGGCTGAACATCCAACATTGTCCACCTATTTTTCTTCACTAAACACACATTTCACAAGCAGTTATGTTCCAAGCATGACATGCCATAAAACAAGTCAATGGTGAAAGCCATGAGCTCCTTTCTTTGTGCATAAGGCAGACAAAAAAAGACAAAAAAAAAAAAGAAGAAAGTCAGGATTTATGTCTCTATCTTGACCTAGTCACACCTTCATGAGCCTTTGCATCTCTATCTCTTGTGGAAGAGGAGCATTTGCATTTATAAACATGATAACTTAGCGCACAACTCTCCAGATTTGACGTCTCTGCAACATTTGGGATCGCAACATTTGGATGCGTATCAAAAACTAGTCAGCTGTCTTCCTAGACAACAGTTTTGGACAACGAGTTACATCGTTACAATGAAACGCGTTATGAACATACGGATAATAAACTCGCATTTGTATATCATGTAACTTTCGATTCGATGTCTTAAAAAGCGATTCGACTTCATTGTTTAGATTGAGTGTGGGATGCTATCTAGGTAGGAAACCCACTAGGTTTTGACACGCAGCTTTGAATTGCAACACTGTAGCAGCGCAATTATTTTTATCTCAATGCGTAAAGGGGTTTCTGCGCATTTCAGCAGTGTTTACATTTGAAAACGTATAATATAACAAAATAAATCATATAGAAATAAAGCCCTGGTTGCGTGTATGACAGTTAATCCAGGGCCATGTTTTCTGTCAAGAGTTTGGAAAGAAAGGAGCTTCACTGACTGTCCACCAAGGACTGTATATTACGCGTAAAATATCAACGTTTCTGTCCATAAGGTTTGAATGAAATCATAAACGACATCAAAATATTCCAGCACTTGCCAGTTTGACCATCAGTTTCTATAATCTCCTGTTGTTTTGAAGATAGTCCCGTTCAGAAATGACAATCCAGTTCAAGGATGCGCAAAATGTGTGGCGCATCTCGACGGCAATATAAAAAAAATTAAATAGAAATAACTATGTATCCGAACACCCGATCCAAATTCCGCGATCGTTGTGGGAATAGATAAAAGTTACGTGTTTGACTCACAATTACTACAAGGAAAATCCCAAAATGGCTTCCATAACAGAGTAAAGCCAGACGGATAAAGTCGCACAAACGTTCCTCCTATTTTCCAGGCTCAACTGTCAATCAACGCCATACTTTGAATCTATTGGTGGAAACACGAGAGTCACGCCTTCCGGCTCGACGTCACTCAGCATTGGATATTGGGATTCAGATGGGCCCGTCCGTAAAGCTGTCAACACATGCACTTCAGCCTAAAGCGACGTGAATACGAGCATTTAGACTTCAATATAGACTGTAAATAAATGGAAACAGAGCTTGTTGGCCAATCTTTACGAATAAAAGGCTCATTTAGTTCTAAAGAACAATCTAAATCAGACTTTTACCACTTTCACATGAGGTACTTTGTCGGACAAATCGATGTCAAAATACGCATACAAAATATTAAAAATCCAATTTATAGATTAACACATTATCAAGTCTTAGATCAAGTCTCATAAAAGAAAAGTTTTAAAATAAGATTTTTTTATCATCTCTTTATTTCCCATCCTAGGTGTACATGGCATTCTTCTTTCAGCCGAACACAATCGGAGTTATATAATAAAATATCCTGGCTCTTCCAAGCTTTATAGTGGGAGTGAATGGTACCTTGTTCTGCGTTCGTCAATTCTTCATATGTCGGGTCAGAGGTCACTCTTCCGCCGCGTACGGCCGTTACTGGAAGCCAGTGATTATAGTTTATAAAGTTATAAATATGGATATTTTTCTTACAAAAACACATCGCTTTGCTTCAGAAGGCCTTTATTAACCCCCTATGGATTACCTTTATGATGGATGGATACGCTTTTTGGGGCTTCAAAAAACAAGGTATCATTCACTCCCATTATAAAGCTTGGAAGAGTCAGGATATTTTTTAATATAACTCCAATTGTGTTCGTCTGAAAGAAGAAAGTCATACACCTAGGATGGCTTAAGGGGTGAATAAATGATGGGATAATTTTCATTTTTGGGTGAACTAATCCTTTAATTCATCCAGTTTTCTTTACCAATCCACTCTGTGCCAAAGTTTAATAGCAGCTATTACACAATTAGCTTAATTTGCGAAACCGAAAACCTCAAGTTTTGCAATATTAAGCAAAGCAATCCCAAAAGCTGACTCAAAATGGGAATAGAATTGATTTCTCTCTAGTTTTAACACACGTCTCTTAAAGGCATTCAACAATCAGTCAATCGCACTATAGATTAGAATCTAACAATTTCTTTGCAAAACACAAACCACCATATATAAAATTGCAAAAACACAATAGGCCAGGACAGACTGTTTATTGATCCCCAAAGACAACTTTAGATGCAAAACATTGCAGTGCAAAAACAGTTACAGATGCTAAAGACCTTACTCAACATATGTGGTCAAATCGTTTCTTAGTGCCAAGAAACACAAATGCTGTGCAGTCATTTTGCATATAGAGAAGATACACAACAACTGTAGCCTATTAATTTCTTAAAAAAAAAAAAAATTGGACTTGTCACAAACAATGCAAAAGTTGGCTTTAAGTCTACAAGTGAAACTTTGATACAATTCAAAGGTCCTAGTATGCCCTTTATAAAGCAAACTACAACAAGATAAGATTTATGGGTCTCTTGGTGATATTGCAAGACTTTATTTGGCAACTACTCCTCAATACACTCTCAAAGCCACATACGCGATGCAACAGCGCCACCTACTGGCCAATCATCAGACTACTGATGCAGTGACGTTAAAACAGATCACGGTTATACATATTTGAAGACTGAATGTGCGTTCAGGGTGGAGTTACCGCCTTATAGCTCATAATTCAAGCTCACTTCTTCTAGGGAACAAATGAGATTTTAAAGTAAACTGCGATACAATGCTGTTATACACTAATTTTATATCTACTTACAGTGGATTGGCCTTTTAAAATAGGTAACGTTACAGTAGGATTAAATGATTTGAAATACTTTAAAGACATCTCTGTTTGTTCACTATCATTTAAAAGTGTCAGATACCCTCAATCCATTTTAAAAACGAGTCAGTGTAATCACAAATCACTTACTGTTTGTTTGGTTTGCTTTCTTCCCGAGGTAAGTTAACGCTAACTTCTGCAAACTCGGCCAGGCGGTGGCAGTTGTCAAAGTCCACTGGTTTGTTGGTGGTGGTGAGTCTTTCAAATACAAACGGTCAACTTATAATGAGCTTGGAAATCGACGACCGAAACGATTTCTGTAAGAACCGCTTCCAGTTCCAGTTCACCGTCTGTCTCTAAGTAAAACACGAGTAAACAGTGAAGTTTAACGCCGCCTCCGCGATGTCCATCCACACAGACACAGACCAGTGCGTTTGAGCGGCGAGTGACTGGCGCGCGCAGCGAAGGAAGCCACGCCCACACCAACTGACGCGCATGACAGTCCTTGCGATACGACGGACAAGCAAATTATTATTTTTATTATATATAGCCTATATATATGATTTTTATTTGAGCAGTTCTAATGTTATGAATGGCTTATTAACAATAACTTTACATGCTTGGCTTTTAAACCTTTTCAAGCAATTGTTAGATTTTACTACAATGTTTAAAAATGTAATTAGCCTGCCTAAGTGAGAACGTCACACCGTTCCCTGTTTTGGCTTTTAAAATATTGTAAGTAATAATAATTAATATATAATATATAATATGTGCAATATAATAATATATACAATATATAAATTATTAATAAATACATGTAGGCCTGATTAATAAATAATGTGCGATAAAAAAAATACATAAATAGATCGTTAATATTATTTTTTTTCAGTTTCCTCAGAAATAACTGCAGGAATTACAGATTTTGCTATGCAGGGTACCTCATTGTTTTAAACGAACTTTATTTATTTAGCCTATTTATTCATTCATTCATTCATTCACTGTAATAATACATTATAATTAAAGCATAGCCTATTTGCGGAATTATTTCATTTTCTATGGATCAAATTAGAAGTGAATTTAAAGGGCTACTGCAGTAAAATATGATGCCGATATGAATCACATCTGTATCTTAAAAATGTATCTGAAGGAATTTTCCTTTGATTTTACGTCCAAGTGAATGCAGAGGATGACGGTGAGTGAACGGGGCGGTGCTGATGAAGACCATAAGACAGACAGACACAAGAGACCCTGGTGAAGGACAGATAGGCTAGAGGTCTAGGATATTAAATCCATCTCCTGCGGACACACTATGACCTTCGTCATGTGAATATAGAGTAAATAACAAGCTTCGTTATCATTCTCAACGTAATCACGGACAAAACAGGAAACGATTACGCGATTTGCATCTGTACGTCCAATATAAACATCAGCACAGCGACATCATACATGTTACAGTCACATCTGTGGTAGAGGAAAGCCTTTTGCTGATACACGTTGTTTATTTTGTGTGTCATTTATTCAAACAGAAGCTCTATCCTCCATCGCGATATAAAGGTAGGTGCTGATGCTGAGATTTTAACATCTGTGCGTGATTATCTGTTAGCAAATACATCGGAGGAAAGAGCAGTGGAATGCGGATCGATTGAGAATCTGTTTAAAATCCCAATCTAAAAGCCTGCATTACTGCTCAATCTGACCGAATAGGAACGACAACGTGATTTTATTTTCTGTCATATAACACGTGCTCTGACCGTTCCAGTTGTGCAGACCGCTGTAAGAAAACATGGACAGCTATGAGGAATTCTGCGCACGCATTCTGTCTGAACTGCAGTCGGAAATTATGCATGAGATGAGCTGCAGTACCGCACCTGCGCGAGGGGTGGCGCACTCTCTCATCCGCCTTCATGGCAGGCCACTTCTGTCTCCGGTTGTGAGTATTTATATTTATATTACAGTGTGACTGCAGTAAATATGGTGTATTAAACTTTCAAAAGCAAAAGAAAGAGTGAGCACAGTAAAATATAATATTAATAACAGTAATTATTATAACATTCAGCCTAAGTTTGGTTTACACATTCAAAAAATAGAGTATTGTCTCCTTCCCTTTCAATTGTCTAATTATGATTCGTATTATTTGAAAGTTTGTGCCTATTGTGTTTCCAGCTAAGTGAGAACCAAAGAAGGGAGATGGTTGAATACAGGAAAAGAGCGTCACAAATGGAGGCAGACAGACAGATTCATCATAACAATAACTTCCTCAATCAGATTCAGGCCATTCTTTGGACCAATAAGGTAAGAAAATAAGTGTTTCTTCGACTAACAGGTACTTTTATGTCCCGGATTTATCTATTTTTATAATCACGAATAGATTTCTAAACTGATTTTTCTAAACTAATAAATTAGAAAACTGATTTTTTCCCCCTTTACGCATAGATTTTTTTTTTTTAACCCAGATATTCATCTATGAAAATTCATATATATATATATATATATATATAATTTCTTTATATCTATATTATTATTGTTAATAGATATATCAATATATTTCAACTGTGTTTATTGTTAAAGTTGAAGGCATTCTTTTTTTTTACCATGCATCCATTATTTATTTATTTTCCTTTTTTTTTCCGTTTTATGTATAGATTTCATTTTTTAACCTATACCTTCAACTATGAAAAAATATATATATATACTGCTTATTCACAATAATTAATTGGATTTACTTTCATACAGGGGCGATTAGGATTTCAATATTAGGGGGGTTCAGCCACCAATAATTTATTTATATTAATAATTTAATATATCATTAGTATACTTGGCATGAACAATACAGTAGGTTCTACACAATCAAGTCAATCCCTGAATATTGAATTAATTTCTAATCATTTTAAATAACCTGCTAATATTCATTAATATTCATTAAGAATATAGACAAACTTTACTGTAATTGTCTAGATTGGCAACATGTGGGTAAAATATTAATTACATTTTTTTCAACACATGTAAAGATTTAAACACTATTATTTAATCATTGGTGCAGTAAAATTAACTTTAAAGAAGATCTTCATTTATCTTTTTAATTCATGAAGATAACATGAAAAATGTGGAAAACAAACACTTTTAACATGAAAATGACATGAAATTACCACTATATTCACTAGATGGCTACAGAGGAGCACTCATTACTTCATTTGCCATTCTTTACTCCCTTTTATAGTTCTTTTCGCATTGTTTGCTTTTGGATTTATTATAAAATGACTATAACAAATTTTTAGCAATTTTATTGCACTGAAGTATAGCAAAGAGTAGGAAAAGTCATAAAGTTGATGAAAGGAATTTCATAATAAATAAATAAATAAGCCCAAATTTTACAGTGGATGGGAAACCGTCTTGAATTGCTCCCGCATCATGTTATGTAAACTGCATTTATGACATTGTCCTCTGCTTATGACGCTGTTTCATATGAGTTTCAAAGGGGACTGATGCGATCACAAATTAATGTATACATATATTACAGAGTTAATCTCATTTTTAGGGAGGCTGGGTGGACATTTAGGGGGGCTTAAGCAATCCTAAAATGGGTCTAGTGACGCCCCTGCTTTCATATCTTCTTGCATTATAGGCACCAAAAATATTGGACGTACCAAAGCCTTCAGAGCAGTGCTCGTCTCCCTCTCCAAAATTAGACTGCAGGAATGGTCTTACTGATACTGCACATCTCACACCTACTGGGACCACAGAGCCTTACATTTTATCTAATAAGCCATCAGTGACCCCACCAGCTGAGCTCCCTGAACTTATGAGAGGAAAAGAGAAGGAAACTGAAACAGAAGGAGTTTGTCTGCAGAACCTCCTGAAGAAATCACGGGAATTTATTGAAAAAGAACAAGGTAAACCGGGATCAAAGGTCATCGGCACCAAAATCCCGTTTGATAAAGAAAACGGCACTTCTCTGGCCTCTGGTTTACCCTGTTATAATCCCTCACCTAATCGGACCTCTCCTAATAATCTAAGAAGTCCAGAGTCTGGTCTAAATGGCATTTTAAGACCCCATCACGGGCGTCCTCGTCCCATTTCTGCTGGCAACATCTTCTTCTCTTTCCCTGACGACCCCAACCAACCAAACAATACAGCCAATGCAAGGCCACAGGGAGTAAACACAATTGCGACGCAGGAGAGGAAGGAACATGTGAGTACGGGTCGATATGATGACCACCCCAGGTTGAACGAGACATCTCCGGTGGATCCTGAGTCCACGAGCCCTCTGTTCCGAAGGAGATGCCACACGCTGGACAGTCACCTGTCCTCCGGCCATCAGAGTCCGCTCATAGACCGGAGCCAGGAGAGAATGCCTCGGTTTATGGCCGGGGTCACTGCGAGAACGCACACTCGACTGTCTCCTCCTTCACCAATGAGCAAGACTTTCACACGGGACAGTCCCACAGCTGCATTTATGGGCTCTGGAATATCCCCAGACTCTCCTTCTCATGCAAAGGTATCATTTGAGGGAAACAGTATCATCAGCACAGCGCTGCAAGAAAGGAGAGCAGGTAAGAACTGAACAAATGAGTGCACTATTGAAAACAAAGACTCAAATGGGTTTTACAGCCTAATGTCAGTGAACTTTTTTTTCCAAAAGTTCCTCAAAGAACACCGAGTTCTCCAGTCTAGTTCCTTTAAAATCATCATGTGCTGGTGTTTTAAAGCAGGGGTTTAAGAGAATCTTAACACTGTTTAATGCCACGGATCCCCAAATATGATGGCGAAAAAACCTCCTTCCTGAGATATAAATGCTACTACATTATATATTTGATCATTTATTAAAGAGACATTTATACTATGAGAAAAAGAGTCATATTACACAAATAACATGATGTTATTTTAACATGCATTTATGGGGTCATTATATTCAAACCAAAAAAAATGATTCAAATATGGAAATATTTAATATATACAACATAATATAACTGTACCATATATATATATATATATATATGTGTGTGTGTGTGTGTGTGTATGTGTGTATATATCACATACAAATAGTAATTACTATTATTAACAATGCATATTCTGTATAGTGCTTCCACAATAAATAATAATAATACAAAAAAAATCTTAGACCCCAATATAAAATTATTATTAATACAGAATGTTTTTGTATACTGCTTCCAAAATAAATATTCTTTTTTAGCTCTTTTTTTCTCTCTCCATTAACAATTTTTTTATTGAATTTCATAACCATGTAATTCCATGTACATGGTTAAACCATGTAGCATTTTCTACAGCACATATTGGACCAAATGTATACAAACATATTATGGCTGTGTTAAACAGATATTAATCAATATGAAAAATACCCAATAATAATAATCAAAATAAGCTATCTAAATAAGAGAGTCTAGTCAAATATGTATTAAAAAAATACACTCTGCCGCTTCACTCTGATGATAACTTCTCTCTCCATTTTTTAACAAGGAGTTTTCAGTTTGAACCCACAATCCAAAAGACTGATATGAAGAACCGATAATGTCACATCAAGAAGAACTTTTTTAATCTCCAAAGAACCTTATAACAACTCAAGACACAACATATGCATGATATAAAGAGTTAATCAGTGGTACCTTTGAATGTTGAGAGTAAAGACGAGATTTTCAGCTTTCTTTGATATAGTATCCTCTCAGTTGTGTATTCCTGTGTTTCAGACGAGATGCAATGGCAGGTCCACGCTCTAGAAGACATGCAGAGGTCTCTGGAGGATGACTATGCTTTCAGATTATCGTGTCTGGTGGCAGAACAAGAGCGAGAACAACGGCATCACAGTCAGGTCAGCATTGGCATATACATATATATATATATATATATATATATATGCAGTACATGGGCTCTGTTCCAAACCTTTGTGCATTGCCACACATTATATTACTATATTTAGGCATCCTAACCAAAATGGGACCTTATAAGTTCCTCATGGATGACAACTACATTAACAGTTACACATCTGCTATGCATGAACTAGAATAAATATGATTTATCCACAATGAACATTTGCCTGGACTGCAGCTTGGAGTCTCTGGTGTTTGATATGCATCATGTGTGTGTATTGTATATATTCTGACTTCAGTCACTCCGTCTCCCTGTTCCTCATTCAGGAGTCGGAGGAGCGGGTCAGGAGACTGAGGGGTCAGGGTGGTCTGAGTCCTCTAGCGGGCGAGGACGGGTGTGAACGTTACCCTATACTGAGCCCCATCATGTGCCCTTTAAGCCCTGGAGAAAGATCGCCAAGACACCCTGTGCCAGTCTTTGGTATGTCAGCCGTGGCTGGGAGATGAAAACACATCAGCTATTTTATCCCAACGACTCTGTGTTTAAATAAATGTTCAGTGGCTTTATAGATAAAAATCTAATATTTATGTTTATTTTTTATTTCAGCTTATATAAATATATACTGTGTGTGTTTGTATATATATATATATATATATATATACTACCAGTCAAAAGTTTTGGATCTGTAAGATTTTTAATGTTTTTAAAATCTTCTGCTCACCAAGGCTGCATTTATTTGATTAAAAATACACAAAAAAAAACATTGTGAAATATTATTACAATTTAAAACAACTGTTTTCTATTTGAATATTTTTTTAAATACAATTTATTCTTGTGATCAAAGCTGAATTTTCAGCATCATTACTCCGGTCTTCAGTGTCACATGATCCTTCAGAAATCATTCAAATATGATGATTTGCTGCTCGAGAAACATTTTTTATTATTATCAATGTTGAAAACATTTACATTTTTATTTCAGGATTCTGTATATATATTCTATCTGAATAGAAAGTTCAAAAGAACAGCATTTATCTGTGTTATTTGTATTTATTAATATTTGTATTTTATTTTTGGGGGAAAATAAATATAATAAATCAATACTTTTATTCATCAAGGATCAAAAGTTACAGTAAAGACATTTATAATGTTACAAAAGATTCTATTTAAAAATACTGTTCTTTTGAACTTTCTATTCATCAAAGAATCCTGAAAAAATTGTACACAACTGTTTTTAACAGTTAATAATAAATCCACATATTAGAATGATTTCTGAAGGATCATGTGACACTGAAGGCTGGAGTAAGGATGCTGAAAATACAGCTTTGATCACAGGAATAAATTACATTTTAAAATGTATTAAAATAGAAAACAGTTATTTTAAATTGTCAAAATATTTAACAATATTGTTTTTTGTTGTTGTTGTTGTATTTTTAATCAAATAAATGCAGCCTTGGTGAGCAGAAGAGACCTCTTTTAAAAACATTAAAAATCTAACCGATCCAAAACTTTTGACTGGTAGTGTATGTGTGTGTGTATATATATATATATATATATATATATATATATATATATATATATATATATATATATATATATATATATATATATATATATATATATATATATATAAAAAGCTGAAATGAACTAAATATATTTTAAACTAAATAAAAAGTAAATTACAGCTATATTATAGAAATAAGTAATAAAAACTACAAAAGAACATAACAAAATTACTGATGTTGAAAAAAAAGCTAATTCACAATATTAACAAGTATTAAAACAGTATATAAATAATCCCAAATTACACTGATTCAAAACTTTCGATTGCATGTGCTCAGAGATGGTTGACTACATTTAGAAAGCTTTCAGCTATTTTTAGAGCTTGGGAATCTAAACATCTTTGTGTGTTTCACAGAAGAAATAAAATCATATTTAGAACAATATGATGAAATGATGTCATTTTGGGGTAAACAATTTAATCATTCATTTACTACAAAATCAAAAGAATATAGTATATGGACGTACTATGGTATATATTAACATGGCATTCTATTCTTTTTAGGTTTAGATGTGGCATCATCACCCTCAATACAGGCGTCCATATATACGAGAGGCCTAAATCATCACAGCACAGGGAAGAGCAGAAACAGGCTGAGTCAGGTTGGGTGCATTGATTGCTAAACTAAACTTGAATAAATGTTATTATGAGCTAAGCCTGAGGGGTGTATGTCGCACACAGGTTATAACAGTGGAGCAGCAGAGGGCGCTGTGTCGCCTCACTGCTATCGTGAAGGGCTTTCTGACCAGGCGACTGCTCACAACTGAGAAAGTCAAACACCTGCGTCAAACCGTGCAAGTGAGAACAACGCACAATAGTGTTCGTATACATGCTAACAAAGCCCTCGTGGGATTGATCATCTCTCTACATGTGTCTTTCTTCAGGACACGCAGGAGTTCATTCGTTCATTCGGCAATAATGCCGTTCAAAGAAACGACCAACTGTCAGAGCAAGATGTGTCTCTGCAAGAGCGCGTCAGAGCCCAGGTCCCACATTTGATGGTTTGGTACTAAAGAACCGTGTGTACAGCATCCGATATGGCACTAAATATGTTTTATATGCTTCTATTACAGTTACGTGCGGCCTTGTTTGACATTCATGATATCTTCTTCACTATGACACTAGAGGAGCGTTTGTCTCTGCTGCAGCAAGACCGAGAGCTGAGAGCTGAGAGGAAACTCAGAGAGATGGTAACTGCAATCTGCACTTTTTGCTTTCATCTTCATTGGTTTGTTATTTTCATTTAGTTTGGGTTATTAGTGTTGATCCCTGGCAACTATTATCTGCTGTTTTGAAAATTAGGCTACAAATAATATTTGATTTGGCATACAGGAAAAAGCAAAAAGCCCCAAGGTGATTTTATCTGCTGCAACCCAGAAATCTCTTGATAGGAAGAAAAGGTGAGTTGTATTAGAACAATATTTGAATTTTTTTTGGTCTGATAAAGACTTATTTGACATGCGGTTGGTCCATTTAGGTGCCAAAACAACATAAAAATTGGCAAGATTATTGGTTGTTGGATGGTTACTTGTGTAATAGTAATGTTACCTTTTTTAATATGACATAAAGGACTGAATGAATCAAAGCTGGAAAGTATTTTTTATGGTTGTAACTCCATAATTTCATGTTGTGACACATTTATGGCCTTCGGCCCATTAAATAAAAATATAAGTAACAAAATCACAAGTCATGATATATTTTGAAACCTATAATTTCACTGTAACTAGATGTTTTGTTTTTATTTATTTTTAACTAAATGGTTTATAAATATTTTTTTAAGTATAATCATATGTAACCTATATATGTATTATGTAACAGAATATTTTTTAGATATATATTGAGGAAAATAGATTTATTTTTTAGGAAATCATACATAGCTATATATATATAAAGATATATCTATCATTCTTACTATATATTTATTACAATATTTTACAATATATTTACAAATATATATATATATATATATAATTTACAATACAATATTTATTTATATAAAAATACTATTTGAAGATATAGGTTTAAAAACAAAATCAATAAATAATGAATGCATGGTAAACAGAATGTGGCCTTCAACTTTAACCAAAAATATAGTTGAAAATTAAATATTTATATAATATAGTATAGCAAAATAGTATATAAAAAGCTATTTATTTTATTTACTATTTATCACCTGAAATACTATTTATTCACTTACTGATCTGCTCTAAAATGTTCTTCTCATCAGAGTTGGTGAATCTCCAGGTCAGACCAGACGAGCTCAGAAAACCAAGAGTCCCCCTACAAAAAGGTGAAGAGCTCCAATAGACACACATTAACCACAGAGGGAAAACAGACACTTTACACATTTACCATCCCCTTGCGCTATAGCTACATCTTTCCAACGGTGTCCCTGTGTGTTGTGTTGAAGGATCCTGCAGCCCAGTCAGGGCCAGAACGCTCCGGTTTCAGGCCAGCAGCTCCTGCGCCGCGGGTCAGCTCTCCACCTTTTGCTTCCTTTGATCATGCAATCTCCCATTCCGGCCATTTCCATTTTCTTCTACACTGTTGTTGATGGAATTTGAAATTCAATTCAGTCTTAGCTGGACGCTTACAGTACTGGAAATGCCACGGAGCCTCTGCCAGAAGAGTCACCTGGCATTTAAAATTGGCTGCATTTATTTGTAAATGCATTTGGCAGGATCTCATGCAGTCATTTAGTCAACTGAAGTGTGATCAAAATATCACTGTATTATATTACAAAGAATCACTCTGTATTAAAGTAACCTTAAAACAAACCCAGTACGTTTTAGGGAATGCATTGTATAAATATGCAAAACCACATTTCAAACTAATTGAGTTCACATTGAATGAAATAATTTGAATGTTCAAATATAATACATCAATATTAGATGCAATATTGTAATATAAAATATTCGATGTGTTTCAGGAGTTACAAGAAGACTCCAGAGGAGAGAGTTCAGCGTTCGGAGAGGCTGAAGAAACAGCATTCGCTGGGTTGATCTGGACATGAAAAATAATATTGTGCTAATCATAGAGATACATTTAAAGATACTCTCCTGCTTGCCATCTCATTGAATCCTGATTATTAATTTATTTCCTCCCGTTATTCAACAACTGCATATGTGAATATAAAATCAAGGCCCGTTCACACCAATAATGATAACTATAAAAAGAAAGATATCGTTGGAATCACTTTCAGAAACAGAAAGTATCTTTTCCCAGCTGATGAACGATAAAAACATTGACAGCCAATTCAGAATCCTTCTTAAAGTGGCAGACGACAAAACTTGTAATTAACAGAGCGATATTGTGCAATGTGTGGATGCTAATATAGTTATCATTATACAGTAGTTATCGTAATTGGTGTGACTGTGAACAGGCTTTTAGTCCAGATATTATTTAGAGGTTCATATAGGATACATAAATGAATAAATTACCCTTCTATAAATTATTACAAATTCAGTGTTTTGAGATTCCTTAAACGTAAAGGTGGGATTTTCCTATATAGAAGCCAGCATTGATAAAGAGAAATGTCAATGCTGCTTTAATGATATTAATATATATATTAAAGTGTCAACAATACTTCCAGAATGTCAGTAGAAGAATAAGAATAGGGTGAAGATATTCTTCGCCAGAAATGATTGTATTTGACCAGCGAGCACTACAAATTAATTTGTACTAATGTGGTTTAACCATAATACTTTACTACTTAAAAATACAACAATATCGATTGTTTATATAATTGTTTATGTATTAGCTCTTGACTTGTATGCTTAAGAAGTACTCCACACACCTGCGAACACAAATGTGAAATAAAACAATCACTTTAATAAACAAGTTTATTTAATAAATCAATAAAGATGTCAATATCAAATAGAAAGGCACATTTCAAACAAGAAAGTTCATTTTGAATTCTGTCAGACAACCTCCATGAACAGAACTGAAGCTAAAAATAACAGGTTATCCATTCACAGCCTGTTTCCATCTGCATAAAACACAGTAAAGACGCAGCATTGAGCCACAGATGTGTGTGTTATAGTGAGTGAATGTGCTGGAGGAGTTTATCGCAGTACTCGGAGCTGCGCTGTTTCTCTCTCACCGCCTCTGTTTGCTGCTGTAACAGACCTCTGTCCACTGCACTGGACACCTTCAGAACCTCTGACAGGAAGAAGAGACAAGGAGATCTTTATACCTGGTTATTACATCAGAATTTACTCATTTCGCATAGCAAAAATAGTCATGGTGCAGGGGTTTATGTATTTGGTCCCAGAGTTCAGACATACTCAGATACATATTCAGATTTAACTTCAGCCTAGAACAACTTCACTATATTCTTTATCTCTCTCTCTATATCTCTCTCTGTCTATATATATAGACACACATAGTAAAGGAACAGTATTGAGTTCTCATGTTCACCAAGGCTGCATTTATGTGATCAAAAATACAGTAAAAACAGTAATATTGTGAAACATTACAATGTAAAATAGAATGTTTTCTATTTGAATACATGTTAAAATGTAATTTATTCCTGTGATCAAAGCTGAATTTTGAGCATCATTACTCCAGTCTTCAGTGTCACATGATCTTTCAGAAATAAATCTAATATCATGATTTGATGATCAAGAAACATTTCTGTCACCTTTTAATAAATTAAACCAATTAAACATTGATTAAATGTATTCTTGTTGAAAAAAGTATTAACATTTAAAAAAAAAATCTTACTGACTCAAATGTTGTATGTTTGCTAACTAAAGTATACACACATATATATATATATAATAAAATATATTAGTATAATAGTATATACCGGTATTAGCCTACACTTTTTTTTTTTTTTAATTGTAGTAATTTAATAATGTTTTGTAGTTTATCATAATAGCAGGTTCATAATGAAATTGTGACCATAATCAACTGGTCTATTGTTGCATGCATACTCAATTCATTTTTATAAATATCATTACTTTGCAGTGTGATTACGCAAAAATGTCCCATTGTTTTACATTTACAAAAAAAAAAGAGAAAAAAAAAACTTCTAAAGTTTCCAGCTCACTGTTTAGGAACAAATAGAAGCCCATAAAGCTGATGTGTGTTCTTTCAGCAGTCGTGTCTTTGTTGTGGGGATTTGGTTTTATCCTGATTTGTTTGGTCGGGGGGGGGGGGATTTACTTTTATCCGCCGCTTTATACGTTTGTAAGTGCACCAGAAAACAACGTTTTCTTTGTGTAAAGAAACGGGTGAATTTCCTCAGTAACTCAAGCGCAGTGTGAGGGTACTGTTATTATAAGCTTAACCATAGGAATGAGGGATTATGGGATATGGTGTTATAATGGACATTAATCACATATGGGGTGTCTTTGAAATTCAAGATGAGTTAAAGAGCATAATCAAAAATCAAGAAAGACAAGAAGAGGAAATCAAGACGGTGTTTTCCCCCCACGTCTGTGGCTCTGTATGCATGATGCTAAATGTTATCTCTAAATAAACCCCTTTTGTATAATACAAATGCATCTTAGGATCACCCTGTCTGGGCTTATTTAGCGACATCAACCGGATGAACATTACGCCCTACTTACTATATGTACGTTTTCATCATCCTTTGTGGTTTCAAAGCCTAATTAGGGGGTATGAAGAGTTTCTGTACTCCATGTGCGTGTGCACTAGGACACATTGACATAGGATTATGGGAAGGTGTTGACAGCCCATGACCCGGCTGGAGGCAGGCCAGTAGCAGAAGAGCGTGTGATGGATAGAGTGTAAAAATGCAGGATTAATGAGGCTCTTTGAAGTGAAGAACAGGGAGATCAGTGAAGTGGACCGTGGATGAGCGCAACGCCATTAACACAGACCCGAATCACTTCCTTATGCAGCAGGAAGAGATTTATCTTACACCGCAACAGTGTCGACACGAATATAACTGTCATCGGTCACGATTCAAGTCAAAACATCAGATGGTTACAGCAGGAATGAAGAATCGCATGCCGTCTGTGTGCGTGCGCCCTTACCGAGGACCGAATCCTGGATTTTGGTGTCGGGGTCGTCCATGTAGAGCAGCAGCTGCTGGAACAGGAACTCCAGGTGTGGGCGGCACGAGTGCGTGTCGTAGTTTTCCCCCAGAGATGAGAACCATGTGCTCAGAGACTTCAGCGCTTCGAGACGGACGTCTTCACTGCTGTCATCCACGCGCTTCAGCAGCTCTGAAACACAAACAGACACGCTCATGAAAGCACATACCACCTCACAGACACATCTGAAATCACCAAAGTGTGCAATAACAACAGTTATTATATACACACTGATATGCTTCATTTAACCAGGATAGTCTAATGAAACCTGGCATCCACTTTTCAAAACAAAAGTAAACAATTATTTGTATAAAAACAAAAAAATGACTTTTTATGAGCACTGTGTATTATTGTATATTAATAAATGTCTGGAAAATGTATGCAAAACACATATATATGCTTAATTTAACCAGGATAGTCTTATAACAGAGAAACAGACACAGACTATTTAAAAACATTGAATACAAAAAATTAAATAAAAAGCTTCATTCACTTTTTATGGGCACTGTCTACTATAATATATTAATAAATGTCTGGAAAATTTGCGCAAGGCACATAGTCATAGATATGCTTCATTTAACCAGGATAGTCTTCATTTAACAGAAAACTGACTACTTGAAAATAAAATAAAATAAAAACTATTGTATACGAAATGCCTTGAAAATACGTGCAATGAACTGTAACACATATTCCATTTACAATATTTAACACTGTCAGATGCGTTTCAGTCTACCATTTTCAATAACATGTTTGAATAATAAGAATAATGCTGTTATTTCTTCGTTTACACAGTCAAATAAAAACACAGACCTTAGAGCAGATGCTCCATTTAATTTGATGCATGAAAATACATCTGTGAGCTATAGAGCCTCAATCCATTCAACATGTTTGACATCTGATGTACACAACCCATATTGTGGAACGATGCATTTTCAATGCTGGAAAACAGTGTTAATAAATATTTAACACTGCACTTCTTGATTTTCATCTGTCACGGTAAATATGCTGCTCCCTTCTCTTTCATTGTTTAACAGTAAGTAGGACGAGTTAAGTGTACCTGGATAGATCTTGTTGAGCGAGTCAGTGCTGAGCTGTTGTGTTGTGAGTTTCAGCAGTGAGTGAAGAGATCTACAGGCCAGAAGACGAGCCAGTTTAGAGTCTTCCTCCAGCGCAGAGATCAGCTGCGTACTGAGAGTCTCCTCCACCGACACAATCTAAAACACATTTATTACACCTCAACATCACTCACACAAAATCAAACACATACACTAACCTTCAAATAAACGCTGTTCGTTTCAACTTTCTATTCACCAAAGAATGCTGAAGAAAGGTTTCACCAAAAGTATGAACTGTTATAATAATCATATCAACAATTAGAATAATCAGAAATGTTTCTCAAATCATCATATTAGAATGATTTCTGAAGGATCATGCGACACTGAAGACTGGAGTAATGATGCTGAAAACTCAGCTTTGATCACAGGAATAAATGACATTTTACAATATATTCACATAGAAAATATTCTGTTTTAAAATGAAATAATATTTCACAATGTTAATGTATATTAACTAAATTGAGACTTAACTAAGTAAAATAATTCAAATTAACTAAATAAACAGACTTATTTCAAAAACATAAAAATTATTTTTTTAACACTTTAACACATTTTATCGACGCTCAAAAAAGCAGATGTTAACCATAACAGTTACAAAACATGAAATCAAATTTGACACCATTTACTGCCTTAATAAATGTGCTGTACTAATACAATTTCCTTATGTCATTATGCACAATTGTTCAAATTAATAATCTTCATCAAAATATAATTTCCTCCACCTAAAAAAATATTTTCCAAATTATTTAAATATATATATATATATTTATTATACACACCATTGCTTTTAAATTTGGTAAAATTATGTATTTATGAGTGAAACTGAATATTCAGTGGGCAATAAAATAAGGAAGTACTATAAGATTGCTTAAATTAATAATAATAAATTATATATATATATATATATGCGCATGTATGTATATATATATATATATATATATATAATTA